GCATGCTCAGAGTCAGCCCTCATCGCAAACCCAAATTCGAACAGCCTGCCAAAAGCTCTAACATGTCCTTTTTTGGTTATGCTTTCCCTGGCCTCTGTAAGTAAATCCACTGTCGAGAGGAGATCATAAGAAATCTTAATCTTACTAAAAAGAAAAAAAAAAAATTGGATGTCTCATGGAACTCCGAAGAAACTTTTTGGCAAAGTTCAGAAATGCAATCGGCCGAAACAAAGGGGCATCGATAAACATAGATCTATAGGTAGAGGGGAGAGAAAGAAAAATGTAGCAGCGGAATTGTTCCTTTGGTTTAAATTAAAGCCACATGTTGCCCCTGGCGTCTACAGACTACGAAAAAAAAAAAGAAAAGAAAAAAGGGCTTTTCGTGGGCTTGTCTGCCTGCAAGCAGTACAGGAAAAGAACGATATTGTAATGTCAAGCCTTTGGCTGCTGTCCCAATAGGTGTCTGTGTAGGCTTGTAACTACTGTCCCACTACTGTACATTCACAGAAAGCATTCATATCGGATGTTTGGGACTAATATGACATTTGTTTATAAGGACCGCGGTGTCCCGGATAGAAGTTAATCCTCCTTCCGACAGAATACATATACTGTACTTATACAGCAGATTATCACAGGGTAATAAGTCTTTAGGCATTTTCACGTGTAGAAATATAGAACAAAAAGGTTTTATTTAAGGAACCCAATCAATAAAAAGTATAACATCTTAGTTAAAGTGGAATTGAACTCCATTTGAGTGTCACATACCAAAAATGCTATTTATTTCATTGTTAACGTGTTTCTAAACCCAGGACCCTGCATTCACTATATCTGGTCTCCCACAGTACACAGAACAAGGAAATGCAATTATTTTAGTAAATATAAACTGCTAAATACCTTTTCTCATCAGCAGTTAGAGCAGTCTTGTAACTTCTATCAGTGTCCAGTGGAGCACTGGTTAAAGCTTGTAGGAGAAGTTTTCTTTCTGCTCAAGGAGGATGCAGAGCCCCTGACCTTTGTCTGAACAGTGCTGATTGGCCCTGTGCTGATCAAATGCACTCTTCCAAGAAACAAAAAACTCTCTAGAAATACACACTTAACTGAGCATGTTCAGAACGGCTATGGTTCAGTCTGTCTTATCAGGCGATAAGACGTGGACATTTGAACAAGAGGAGAAGCAGAGAAGCCGGGATCAAACAGCCTTTTAACACAATGCGAAGGATTAACCCCTTAGGCTCCACAGTGAGTATAACAAGCATGCTTTACTGCATATAAAGACTGATTTTACTGTTGTGAGTTTAGTAAAACTGTAATATTCAAAGCAAACTCAACCACCCATCCATGTCCCCGTGCCTTATTTTGCTGAGAATTCATTTTGACAAACACCCCCTGGTATTTTTGGTAGTGGCCATCTTGCTTAAGGGCAAATGATTCATGTAGAATTTACTTCATTGAATCCATCTGCCCTTAGCTCAGGCATTGGTTAAGCTGAGAACCATCTCCTCCTGAAGACTCCTAGGATGTATGACATCATTTTCCTAGGCCTGAAGTAACTGAAGAAATGTAAGCAAAGTTTAAAACAAGTAATTATAATATATTTTCCTATCTATTTACTAAGGATAGCAGCATAAGGATTAAAAATATTCAATGTAGATTGAGAGAGGGAATTACTATCTGAAGGTTTCCAATATATGTGAGCCCTCACCTTGTAAAACAACCCATTTAGTTTTAAATTAAAATTAAAAGCAAAATATTTTATGTATATTAGGCAAAACATTTTCCCTATTTTATAAGGTCTCTTGTACACATGAACTCCCCTAGAATTTTAGCTCTAATGGCAGCAGAAAAACGCGGCAAGAATGCGTGTAAACGCGGTACCACGTTTAGTGCATGTACGTTTATTCATTTGGTTGACCAGAGTATTTTCCACTGACATGAAGCGCTAAATGCAGCTCATTCATCTCCGACACACAACTCTTCTGTATTCAGGATAGGAACGTTTAACTGCCCCTAAACTCTGCTGCTCCTAAACTCTGGTAAAAGCCTACAGTATGTGTACATGGACACATAGGCTTTTATATAGTTGAGTTCAGGGGCTTTGGCAAAAAAATGCCAAAAGCAGCAGTGTACCTGAGGCCTTAGGGATCACATTCCCTCTGTGCTCAGCTGCATAAGTAGCTCAGAGAACTGGGGAAGGAGAAACAGCAGAACTCTGATCTTCCCAGTGAATGGCTGTGCGAGGGGGGTGCCAGGACAAGTCTGATCACTGAAGGAAAGCAGGAGAAATCCCAGCACAGCTAGAGAACTGACCATGCTGTGCTTTTTCTGCCTAGCATAGTCAGTTTTTAATTGGAAAGCAGAGGGACTGGCAGGAGCACTAGGGTTTTCACACAAAAGAAGCAATACAAAGAGAACAGGATACTTTTTCATACAAGTAAATGGTACAGCAGGCACATATCACGAATATGAAATGCTGAGTTTACATATTCTTTAACCACTTCCCCGCCGCCCTATAGCAGCAATACTGCTACAGGGCGGCAGGGATGCGCAAAATCACATATATATATACGTGATTTTATATTTCTGATTAGGGGGCGCGGCCAGTGATTACCCACCAGCGCCCGGTGATTGCCAAAGATCTCCTCCTCCCTGTCGGCTCGGGCACACTGCTCTGGATGGCTGTGCACCCTTTCCTGCCCAGTGTCATTAGTAGTGTCAGTGCACTGATTACTGTATTGGTGTCACTGGGGATGTCAGTGACACCAAGTCAGTTCCCCCCAGTGTCAGAATGCCCGCTGCAGTCCCGCTATAAGTCGCTGATCGCCGCCATTACTAGTAAACAAATAAAATTCCAGTATGTATACCATCAATTGTAAACGCTATAACTTGTACGTAAATCAATTAATTTACATGTATTGGGATTTTTTTTAGCAAAGGCATGTCGCAGAATACATTTTGGCCTAAATTTATGACGAAATTTGATTTTTTATTTTTATTTTTTACTGGACATGTTTAATAGCAAAAAGTCAAAAATATATTTTTTTTCTCAAAACTGTCAGTCTTTTTTTTTTATAGCGAAACGCGGGCTGCATTCTCAGACGTAGTGCAGGGACTTCTCTGCGTGTCACGGGGCACTGGAGTCCATTCAAATGAATGGGCTCTCGTGCCCGCGCAAAACGCGGCCCACACGTCTGTATATATGTGAACCAGGGCTAAAGTATGACAAGACTCTGTCCCTGTTTCTCAATTTTGATTCTGTGTTGTCACCCTGTCACACGTTCTCACATGGAAAACTACAAGTAGCCATGCTGATTAACATTGCATGAGAATGGTGTACTGCTGTCACAATCAGGAAACCCTAAGAAGTGTCATACAGTCATCTCTGGAGTTCATGTGGACAAAAAGTAAATGCAAAAAGGGCAAGGGAGGGTTATAACCCCTGTCAGATTTTCTTTTCGCCATCTGTGTCCCATAGAGAAACAGGAAGTGAGAGGAAATCTCTGCAAATTAATGGAATTTCTTGGAGACCACCAGGTCACTGGAATTAGTGTACCAATTGGAAGATTTCCCCTCCATTACTTTTCTGGGGACTACCCAAAATTTGGGATTTTCTTTACTGTTGCTTTCAATGTTAATAGTAAACAGGACAAATAGAGAGGGTGAATCTCCCTAATGGGGGGCACAGACAGCAATAAGAACTGACAGGGGTTCTAATTCCTCTCCAATCTATCCACAACTATAAAAAAAAGAGTCCCCCTCCCCCACCGTAAGGTTCCCCTACATCAGAGAACCATCAGATTCCTCCTTACATCAGTATCCTTGAACCCCCTTACACCAGGGTTCCCATCAGACTCTGTGCACATACTCCAATGTGGTCCCCAATCGTATGTTGGAGACCGCCCCACCTTAGTCAGGGATAGTCAGGTGGTCTCCATCTACCCTAAGGGACCCAATCAACAAAACATATAATATGTACGTATACCACACACTGCAAACAAACCATGGCTATATACCTCTAAAATGTCCTCCAGTCTGTGACACGTAGTCAATATGCCCTGTGAGCAGGAAATGCTGTGCCACACATTTCACAGAGCCTGCCTGCTGACCTACAGAGGTGCTGAGAGGAGGAGTTTCAGGAGGCGGAGTCATTACAGGAATCAAGGTACCATGGGACATGCAGTCCTTAGAAATCGAAAGTAAAAAACAAAGGAGATGATGCAAAGCATGCTGGGAATCCAGGAAGTTGTGGAAAGAGATGACCAGCAGACAGGCAGCACTCACAACATGAAAGGAGATTTTTCAAGTAAGATTATATTGGACTGTTAAATATAACTTTTGTTTGTATTGTTATTACAAGGCTGATGTTATAAAATGAAAGAGTATGCTGGGACCATAGAACTCCTTTAATTTGACCCAAATACTGTATATTCAAATCTCTCTATTTATATAGCTATCATAGGCAGGATATCCAAGTGTATTATATATTTTCCTGTGCAATTGATAAAGACAATTTCAGATCATATTGTAAAAGTTATTTTATAAGCCTTATTGATCTTTCATTTGCTCTTTACCCATCTGCCCTCCAGAGGATTTACCCCCCCCCCCCCCTTCCTTCCTGACCAGGCTGGTTTTTTACTTTAACTCACAATTGCGCAGTCATGCAACACTGCACCAAAATGAAATTTACGTCCTTTTTTTTCCCACAAATGGAGCTTTTTTCAGTGGTATTTGCAGTTTTTATTTTTTGCGCTATAAAACAAAAAAAGACCGCCAATTTTGAAAAAAAAAAACAATATTTTGTACTTTTTGCTATTAAACATGTCCAGTAAAAAAATTTAAAAATCAAATTTCATCATAAATTTAGGGCAAAATGTATTCTGCTACATGTCTTTACTAAAAAAAATCTCAATATGTTAATTGGTTTACATGAAAGGTACAGCGTTTACAAATGGCGGTATATATTCTGGATTATGTTTTTTAGTATACTAGTAATGGCAGTGATCAGCAGGACTGCGACGGGCATTCTGACACTAGAGGGGAACTGACTAACTGCCACTGACATCCCCAGTGACACTAATACAGTGATCAGTGCTAATAAAAAGCACAGACACTGTACTAATGACACTGGGCAGGAAGGGGTTAACATCTGGGGCGATCAAAGGGTTAACTGTGTGCTGTTTTACTGTGTGCTGTGTGTGTTTTACTAGGGAGCCTGGGTTCACACTGATGCGGTGTGGAATTTGCACCACTTTCTGTGCGATTTCCGCACCGCATCACAATCGCACCCAATTCATGCAAACCGCTGTGGGTGTGTATGTTAAGTTAACAAACCCCCCCGAAACTGGTCTGCAAAATGCGGTGCGATGTGCAAAATTGGATTGCATGAGTGTAAATACCCATGCAATCTGATTAAAGTATGGAGCAAAAAAAGGGTCCTGCACTCTTTTGATGCAGATGTGGTGCGATTTGAGCCATACAAAATGTATGGCTCAAATCACACTGCACAGAATTCACATGTGATTTGCCCAGTAATGCGGTGCTGTTCCTGTGCAAATCACATGCGATATGCCGCACCGCAGAAGTGTGAAATCAGGCTCAAACAAACTGCTATGCAGAGCAATACAAAGCAGCATTGCTTGTGCTGACAGGGGAGAGATCTGTATTGTTTACATACAGACCTCTCCCCTGTCAGTGTTCCAGTGATCGCCGAGTGCCGGCGTGGAATCTCCGGCCAGGACCTGGTGATCGACAGCTGTAGCTGCCGATGGCGGCGTGGGTAGTGCGGCGTGCGTACCCCCTACCTGGAAAGTATATATACGTGATTTTGTGCAGCAGCCCTGCTTCCCTGTAGCAGTAGTTCTGTTATAGGGCAGTCAGGAAGCAGTTAAGTAAAGTGATTTTATAATAAAATAAAAGCACGTTATACTTGTTAATGGTTTTGCACAGAGCGTCCCGACCATCCTCATCTCAGGTCCTCTGCCGATGCTCCCGGCCCCTCCACTCTGCTGAGTGCCCCTACAGAAAGCAGTTTGCTATGGTGGCACCCAAGCAGGCTTGCTCCCAAGCCACTGCTCTGAGTGTCCATTGACCCCACTCTCTCCTCATTGGCTACTGGCTGTGATTCATTGCAGTGGGAGAGATCCAACAGAGCCGAGGCTCCTGGGCACAGCGGTGGATTGCGATGGGGCTCAGGCATTAGGGGGGTTGGGGGGGGGGGGTGGCTGCTGCACACAGAAGGGGGTGGCTGCTGCACATAGAATGCATGAAGGGAAGAAATCCTTCAGCCTTTAGAATCACTTTAATTGCAGATCAATGAGAGCTGGACCCGAATAGACCTTTCATCAGATATGTTTTTTCATGTTAAGTAATGTGTGAGTGTAACACTTTTAGGTATGTATTACTTATGGCAGAGGCTACAGTACTACCCCTATCCACGCTTTCATCTGCCCCAGCTACTTCCTGAGCTGAGATGCTAGGGACCCTAGACTTTCTGGAGATAACACATTTATGTAAATACTGGCATCTATGCAGTTCCAGGCTGTGTTAACAAATGTCTGACACAGAACAGCCCCTGCTGCAGACTGTCTCTCTCTGATACTGGCTAGAAAGTATCCTACTGAATAGGGGCGCCCCTGAAATTGCCCCACAATCGCACGCAGTTGTGATATGCTAGTTCAGAGTTCAGGGGGTTAAAGTAGGAGGTGAAGCAATACAAGGGCTCCTCACCACTGGCCAAATGCTCTCTGAAGTGTAATCCAAACGCAGATTACTTTTCAGAGAGCACTACAAGTGTAAATGAGGCTTTAGAGGGGATTTCCTTTCTTTTGATGAGATTCACTCTCATTTCCTATTATGTATACTGGACTGCAAGTAAAAGGAAACCTTCCCAAATGAGTTACACACAGCATAAAAATGTTCTGATTTTGCATGCACTTTAATGATAAAATGATTCTGTTACAGTATCCTGTATTACATCAGGAATATGTATAAGTAAAAACAGGTAGTTGAGGCAGGCTTTTACCGCCCACCTAAATCTTACAATACAACTGGAGAGGGGCTGTTCACATGCTATTCCAGCCACAGGAAATTGAATGTGGAATTCACAAGCAGCATCGCCAGTCAGGACAATGGGGCCACAGTGTAACCAGAAGCCCAATGGCTGGCTCTCAGTTGCAGTGCATTACTCCCATTGTAAACTGCTGTTTGCTTCTTGAACACCTTACAGCCGCTGCGATCCACAGTGCATCACTTTTCAGAGCTTGGGCTAGTGTGAATCTAACCTAGATTCCTAAATATAACCACATAACAATTTATGTAACAGGCTAAAGCCTTCCATGTTGGTTCACACCAGAACTGCACAGGAACGCAGTCCATGTTTCTGTGCCATTCCTGTGCATTCCCCTGCAGTGCGATCTGGAGACCAATTCATTTGAATAGGCTGCAAATCGCACTGGAAAGCACAAGCATGCACTACTTTTGAAAAACGTATCATACCAAATCACATGCTACTGTGGTACCATACAAACTGGTCCCTGCAAATGTACTGCATTTGTGTTCTGTGTTTGGGGTGCCACTAACAATATATTGATCACAAAGGCAGGGCATTTTGAACGTGGTGCAGGAAATGCACACAGATTGTGCCTTCCCACGCCGCGTTCTGGTGTGAACCAGCCCTCCACCTCCGCACAGAATTTCACTTCTGCTGCATCTGGGCAAAAAAATTAATTGGACCTGTGAATTCCAAACAGGAGGTGTGACTAGCTGTAAGGGTCCTTTCACACGGGCGTTATTATTATTATACAGGATTTATATAGCACCAACAGTTTGCTCAGCGCTTTACAATATAACGGGAGACAATACAGCAAAAATACAGTTCAATACAAGAGGGTTAGGAGGACCCTGATCCTTGGAGCTTACAATCTACAAGAGAGGGGTGTTTAGTCATCAGTTTAGTCATGTTTTTTTCCAAGAAAAACAGATCAGTTTTTCGTCACTTTACATCCTTTTTCATCCGTTTTTCATCCATTTACATCCGTTTACATCCATTTTTCATCAGTTTACATCCGTTTTTCATCCATTGTTAACAGTTTACATCCTTTACCAATGCAATAATGAACTGTATGTCCATTTACATCCTTTTTTTGTCCTTTCTGTTTTTTGGGTTTTTTTTACAGAAGAAAAATAGGGTTTTCCTCCGTTCAAAAAAACGGATGTTAACGGATGCGGACATTAACGGATGTAAACAGATGATCATCCATTTACATCTGCTAGTCCATAGAAATACATGGGTGTTCGTTTTTCATCTGTAAGCAGAACATACAGAACACCCATATGAAAGGGGCCTAAAACATGGATTTAGCTGGGAACACAGTCCTATACAAAGTTCCCTATAAGGCATAGATTACACTTGTGATTGGGCCACAGTTTTACCACCCCTGCCTTATGCTGCAAATGTATCTGGACAGGGTTGTACACATGCTGTGGCTACTATGCTTGGCGCCGTGAAGAATATACCTCCTGCTGACTTCAGTAGGCAGTATCGCTGCAGAACACCACCTATTCAAGTGAATAGCTATGTAATGAGAAATTAGCAAGCGCTTAGGATTCCAATGGGTCAGCAGCATGTGCACTAAACAGGAACCCAAAGACCTTATATAACATACATAGACAATAGGTGCAGAGCTGAAAAAATTAATATATAAAACGTATATAAGAGTGTACAAATGGTAATTTAAATTAATAAACACAAGTGATAAAATGAAAGTGCCTCGTTATAATGAGCTATAATGAGATAAACACGTGCAACTATGAAAGTCAATAAACAGACAAAAAATGTTCATATAATGGTGAAGGTCTGACAGACACCAGTCAAAGAATACTACCGCATAAAGATCCTGTTGCACAGGTGATATCAAAGAATTTCGTGTGACTTTAATACGTGCAGGGGATATGATAAAATTGCGCACTCACCAGATGCGCATAGTAAAAGCGCAATATGTTGAATCATATAATGATCGTAAGGTCTGCAAGAAGCCCCCTTTAAGTGGACAAGAAAAGCAGCATAGGAAGAGACTCCCTCCTCTGGATCTGGGACTGCTCTGTAACTGTTCTCCAGAGTCCTCCATTCCTTTACGTTTTATATATTAATTTTTTCAGAGCTGCACCTATTGTTTATTCAAGTGAATAGGGTTGTGCCACAACCACCCTGCAAGTATGTGAAATGCACATGGTTGTGGCAGTTTTAAAGGGTTGAAATAAATTGTGAAGAGGCAACATATGCCACCCCCCCCCCCCAGTCACCTGTCAGATTCCCTCTGAAAAGCAATCCACCACAGATCTCTCATCAGAGGGTGACACAAATGTAAACAAGCCCTAAAAACCCAGCTATTCAGTATGCTGGCATCCAATAATGCAGAATGGTGCTGATTCGTCAAAATTGCAATAATGCAGTTAACCTATCGCGGTTCTTGTTATACTTTTTACAAAATGAAAGGTGAATCCTGATTGGTTCCTGAAGACAACGCTTCAATTCCGTGCTTCCTTTCCTTTCTCCAGTTTTGATGTTTGTATCTTTTTATCAGAAGAGCAGTCAAGGAAATCACACACATTTTTAGAGCTCACTAAGAGCCATAACAAACAATTTAAGACATTCTTTCAATGCTCCCAGGGATTACTGGCTCTAAAGAAAAACAATCATCAACATGTTGTAGAATTCTATTTATGTTTAAACACATAAGCAGCTCTTAATACGCCAAACAGATTTGGATGTAGATTGTGTTACGTTGAGTTAACAGTGAGGAGTACAGTGCTGGTTTGGATATTAGCTTTTAATCTGAACTACAGACAAACAGCTAAATACACAAATAAAATAAATATAAAGGAGCTGTTTTACCTGCCAAAGGATTTGGATGTATGTCCATGCAGTCCTAAGATTTGCACAGGTCTGCCATGCAGCACAGCCTTATCTGACAGTCCAGGAGATCTGCAGTTAGGAACACTTACACTACGGCTACCAGATGTGTGAAATAAAACCCACAGGCACCTTTTTGATCACCCCTGCTTTTTAGCCAAGCCCACAAAACTACACCCTCACTTTTGCCACAAAATTCCTGGGGAACCATGAGATAGGGAATGATGTGGCATGTGTAGCAGTGAATTGGCCAAATTGCTGTAACAGAGTATGGTTAAATAAAACCTGAGCCTATCCTGTTGTAGGTAGGGATGCACCGATACCAGTACCGGTATTATACTTGTAGTCATGAAAATACTCCCGATACCTGAAACCCATACTTTGAGGTGCAATCTGTGTCAATACAAAATATAAGGACGCAAATTGCACCGCAACGAATAGAATGCGATTCCTCTTTAAATTGTTTGCAGTTTCCCAACTGCAAACAATTTATACAGGAGCGCCGCAGGAAACTTTCCCCGCACCAAAACCATGCTGTCACAAACAGAAAAGCTGGGGATTTGAAATCCCCGCAGCTTTCTCTCCTCTCAATGCAGGGATGACAGTACAGGCTAGATGGCTTTTGAATGGTCAGCCCGTACTGCATCTTCTTAAGTGACACCATTATAATGATATACTGCATATAAAGAAAAAGAACACATCAAATCCAGCTTACATTCTATAGACCAGTAGTCTCCAGACTGTGACCCTTTGCTTGCTTTTGTCTGGCCCTTGGGCATTTTTCCCCCCACTGTCAGCCACAGTGCGGGATAATTCCTGACACTGAAACTGACAA